AAAATCTCCAATATATCTTCTTTTAATCTTAATCGTTCGTCACATAAAATTCGACTACCTAAACTAAATGCGGCATCCGATGCTACAGTAGAGACGCCGATTGTGTTGGTAGATCGCGAGCAATTTTGATACAATTGAATAATGCATTTCGTTACACCTCCACCATGATTGTAGTTGTAACATACTACGAACGTCCACGCACATATACCTAGTTAACTTAAAGGGAATTTCAAGATTTGTAATACTGACATCTATTGCTCCAGATCACGAACTAGAACTAAATGAGAAAACTAGTATTGGTCTCTACATAATTCCATAGATCATCTGCATTTGTTGAAATATTTCTTGAAAAAGAACTTTGAGAAGTAGAACTATATTGACCATCTTTTTCATCGTAATAGTTATACATTTCACATAACATAGATTCCATATGCACATGTGATAATTCTACATTCATAAAATCCCCTCTATAGAAGCTAATAAAAATAAAGAGGGTATCTCTTTTCAATATTTACGAAATTTTAATTCCATAGAATAAATTACATAACAAAAATTAACAAATTCCTATATTTTTGAAATGCTTGTGAAAAATAGAAAAAGTGTTGTAAAACAAGCGAAGATGTAGGATAATAAACACCGCTACATTCCTTGTGGCATCGAATAAAGGTTTTAAGAATTTTTCCTTCACGAAATTTTTCATGTGAATATACAAAAGTGAAAAGAGTAAAACCGGAACCGATAAATGTTAATTCGATCTGTTTTGGGTCAAGACTGACTGATTTCGCTTTGTAACTTCTTAATATGTGTCTATTTAAATGCGATGTGCTTGAACTGGGCTTCCAACTAAGTTTTTCACCATAATAATTGTAACATACTTTCCAAATATCAACTCTATTTTGAATTCCAACTTTTTTACGAGTCATATGTTGCCAACAATCCGCATTCTTTGTTCGACCTTTTAACTTCGACTATTTCATTCGCTTCGATATCTTCCAAATCAATTGGAACATTCTGAGATGCATCGTACCCCGATGGAGAACTCGAACTACCTTTAAACCGATTAATCTCATCACTAGTAAAATCCATATGTACGCATTATAGTAAAGAATATTGAAAAATAGACTAAAAGAAAATGAATAACACAACCAATGTCTAAATTGAAAATTAAAGTTAAGAAATTGGAGAATATAATACTGAATGCGTAAAAAATTTGAAATAGATTGATATGAAGTTGTAAAATTTTTCCCATATTTATAGGCAATAATATATCCGTTTTAACTATATTTAATTTACAAATTCAAATTTTTGACGAGACAATTCAACTCAAAAAAATTTACGAATCAATTTTTGTGGTTGCGTAGTAGGCAGCTTTTTTTTAAATACAAAAAATTATGGTTT